CAGCCCCGCCCCGCTCCGCCCGCACCTGCCGGGCCGCCCCGCCTCCTCCCCGGGCCCTCCTACCGCCCGGGGCGGGCCGCTGCCGCCCGCCACCCTCCTCCCGTGTCCCACCCCCGTGTCCCCCGCCGCCATCTTGGGTCCCCGGCGCCACTCGAAGTCCGTGAGCGGCGACGCCGGAGCCCGCCGGCTCCTGGCCTCCACCCTGAGGCGGTGGCGGGGCCAAGGCCGGCGGGGGCTGCGTCCCGCCTGCTGAGGGGGTGCGGCGGGGAAGAGAAGGTGGGAGAAGCCCCTGGGAAGGGCCCTCCCTACCGGCCTCGCTCCTGCCCCGGGAAGAGGCTGAAGCCATAGGCCACGGCGTACTCCAGTTGCTTCTTGGCCTGAGGAACAGCATCCTCCTGCTGGCTTTGGCAACAATTATGCTTAAACCCGTGACACGTCGAGCTTGGGACCTGTGGCTTAATGGTGAGTTTGGTGTGAACCACTTCTTGCAGCCCAGGGTTTGCGGAGGCGGCTGGTGAAAGGTGGAGGGGTTGGAGTGACACTGGCTCTTCAGTCCGGCAGCCATACCTTGTCCCCCTGCTAATTCCCAGGTACAGATCAGAGGAATTTTTCCTCTTTGGCCCCTGGGTTGGGTCATCCTGTACTCGGAGAGAAATAGGAAGCAAGGCCTCTGTGCTTTCAACTCCACTGAGCTGAAAAAGAAAGCCAGTGATGTGGAAATTAGGTTAAACCGCCTAAGTAGGCAGCTTTCTGCACGTAACTAATCTGGCTGCTGCATATAGCAGTGCTCAAGTGAATTCCAGTCCAGGGGGGGAACTCAGGGACAAACCCAGGGTCCTCTGCTTGATTTCAGGCCAGGGCGGGAGAGAGGGGATGGACAGTGAGGAGGAAAATAGGATGTGAAGGAGGATGTGAAGTAGTTCTCCTCCACTGAAATGGAGGCACAAGTCACCTGAGCCAAGGGCTGCACGCTTAGGTCCTAAGCAAGACAAAGGGAGCACCAGAAAAGAAGATGGACTCAGATGTCAACTGTAAGACTTTAGCTGTAGCATCTAATTTACAGTGTAGGTGTTACCATTGCCCTTTTAGTAATCCATTGCTGTACTCTAGAGCTATCTACACACCTCCCTCCCTTTTCCTGTTGCACAGGGGTTCACGGGCTCAATACTGCACCTGCGGGCTGTGCCAAGAACAGACCACTGGCCTGGCAACTCGGCTGCCCTGGGATATGAACAGCAGCTGCAAGCATGGAGATATGCAGTACTGGTACAGCTGACAGCTTTCAAAAAAGGAACAACCGATCTCTAAGGGCACGTTATATGGTCCAGGTGAGAATGAGATCCTATGTATTGCAGGGCTGTGAAGGGCAGAGGCTGGATGTCAGAGTGATGGGCAGGGGGGTGACCAGGTGAGTACCAGCTGCTGATCAGCACAGGTGGACTGGAAGACTGCACTCAATCTCACCTCACAATTACCTCCAGGCACTAATTAACCCATGCTTCATTAAACAGGCTATTATTAGAGAGGTGCTTGGAGGAGAGCTCCTGGGGCACGTCCCACTTAAATTGACAGCAGCAGCCCCAAAGTCTTGCTTAGAGAGCATCAGGCTGCTTCTAAAGCCCCAGAGCTGGCATTTTCGCTGCTTGTTGTCAGGAGGAAGAGCACATTGAAGAGAGAAGCGTCCTACCTTGCTTTATGCTCATACATGGGGAAAAGTGGCACAGGAGCTAATGGTCCAAAGCCTTGGCTCACTAAACCTAATTAAGGGCTGTGCAGAGGGGAATTTGGCTGTGGTATTTTGCGAAGAACTAGATACTGCTTCCTTGTCATGTGCAATAACCCAGCAGGTTTGGGAAGGCAATTTATTGTTTACCTACTGGGTAAAACAAAGAATGAGAGTTAACTCTCTAGACTGATACCATTAAGACCGAACACATAAATGGAGAAAAACAGTGGATGAGGAGCAGGTAGAGTGAGACTAGATGCAGGAAGGAAAGTAAATGGAGAAGAAACAGCCTACCCGTAACCCAGAACACAACTGAGGTGACAATAAGTGCAGCAATGATAGACTGTAAGAAGGGTTGGACTCCCAGGTACTGCAGAGGAGTGGAGGAGGTCATAGAGTGCTTTAATACACATTTTACGTTCTTCTTTTGAATCTGACAACCTTATACTTTTATTTCAGCTTTAATAAAATGAAACTTATACAGTTCTCAGAGAGCTATCTTTCCTCAAAAGGGGGAGATTATTTCAGATTTGCCACAAGGGAGGAGGCAGAAAATTGTTTTAGATTTGCAGCAAGAACCGTGGGAGGAAACAAAGGCAGAGATAGCCTGGCACGATAGGGTTGTACGGCTTGTCCTGATAACTAGAGGACTTGAGTAAGCACAGAGAGATGCCCTCCCACAAGGACTTTACTAAGGCTGCGTGCTCAGCATACTCCCTGCAACTGCAGCATGCAGGCATTTCCCTGCAAAAGCCTGTCCCTCTGTCAGCAAAAGGAGATGCTGAAGCTCTCAGCTGAGTGCTGAGTTTCTGGCAGTACGAAACAATTCAGCTTCCAGCTGCTGCTGCACAGAGAATTAATCAGGGCTGAGGAACTGGAGCAGAGCAAGCCCCACAGCTTCTGAGAGGGTGCTTGGTTGTCACCCTGGTCATCTGTCCCCAGCTGACATAACACACAAGCTGCACAGGGGAGGCATGAAGAGTTTGCTTACTGTTCTCTTGTGTGTTTTGAGTGAAAACACAGGACACAGCTTCATCCCTCTGATTTAGCTAACTGGTTAGGTGTGGGAGGGGAGCACAGCTCTTCTCAAATGGTGTCCATAGATCAGCGGTGATGGAGTTTGGCACAGAGTCACTTTTCTTCTTGGCTGGACTTACTCTAGTGACAATTGTCTCTTTTTCCTTTTCATCCCCCCTGCCTGTGCTTGGAGGGTTTGCACCAAGAGAAACAGACCTGTTCTAGGCTGCCAGGGCAAGAAGCGCAAATTAGAAACCAACCTCCCTTGGAGTTATAAAGAGGGAAATACCAGAGTGATGCAGCATTACAAACTAACACTTCCATTTTGTCAGGTTTAAAAGTAATAGAAATTCTAGGAGCTTAAAGTGGTTCAATTGGTGAAAAAAATGTGTGGAGACTACTAGCCTAAATAATTCCCCCAAGCAACTTCCTCTGAGTTGTGTTCTTCAGCCACAATAAGTTTCCCAAGGTGGGTGGGCAGGGCAGGAAGAGAGGGGGAGAGGAGGTGTCTATTATGTATGTATTTGTTAGCAGATGAGCTTCTTGCTCTTGGAAAGGGAACAAGTTGAGAACTTGGGGAAAAAGCTGACAGTGGAAAGTAGGTCTATGACTGAAAATGCTCAAATCATATCCAGTGACATTTTTGTTTTAATGGAAGCAGATGACAGTAGCTTGTGCTGTCTTCCTCTCTCTCACTACACCTTGGCACTAGTCTGAACACCACTACAGCTGCATCCTCTCCCACTAATATAACCAAGAGGCCAAAGGATCATAGAATGGTTTGGGTTGGAAGGGACCTTAAAGATCATTAAGTTCCAGCCCTCCTGCCATGGGCAGGGACAGCTTCTTCATGTGCATTCACAACTTCTCTGGGCAACCTGTTCCAGTGCCTCACCACCCTCATAGTGAAAAAAGAGTGCAGTTCTGACATGCTGTCTGCCTTGTTCACAGCTAACTTGCGGGCACACCAAGGAAGGGAAACATCTTCTTGTGGGTTTTTTTTTTTTTTTTTTTTTTTTCGGTTGGGGTTTTTTCTTTTCTTTTTTCCAGCATAAAAGCATAAGGCTGAACTTCTCTGAGAAGTGTCTCCTCTCCCCAAGTTATCCAGAGGTACAGGGAGATGAGCGAGAAGGTGAAAGCCAGACATTAGCAAACGGCTTTCCACTCTTGGACCAGTAGAGGTTAGAGCAGTGAGGGAAAGCTATGTCTGAACTACACACTTGTGAGTTACTGCAGTAAGCCTAGCCTGGGCTGCTCCATCAGTATGCTAGAGATACATGTGCCAACTCTATTACCATTCTACACTTCCCCATTTCTCCCTTTGTTTAATGGAAACCCTGGAGAAGAGTTTGCCACAGATTTTCTCTCAAGGCTGCAGAAGTCCTTGCAGAATAAAATAAATGCAGAAATCCTAGACTCAGCTTGAAAAGCCAGACAGGACAGAGCAGACTGTCTGGGGAAGCAGGATGCTGCCTCTGCTCAGAGCGGTGAGGTGAAAGTCCTGTGGCTGGGAGACATGACAGCAAGCTGCACGAGCTAGGGCTGAAGTGGCCTCTTAACTGAAATATCCACAGAAAACCATGCACAAACATGCTGCCCCTGCAGTCAGAACTGCTGTCCCCCAGAGCAACATGGGCAGAAGGGTGACAAGAACAAAAGGTGCTGTGAAAGCATGGGGACAGATACATTTCTGATGTACGCTGGAAATGGGATGGTGAGGTGAGACAACCAAGTGAAAACAGAGGGATCAATCTGGAACATGACAATGAAGAGAATGTGGTTAAACACGGTGCTGTTCCTGAAAATCTTGAGACGCTACAGTTCCTGTGCCTTTATGGAAAAGGTGCCCAAGGTAGACCCCGTATCAGGGAGTACTTGAAACAGGACAGCAGAAAATCGCTAAGAATCCTGTTTTGAGTCTAGGACAGGACAGATAAAGGTGTTGAGATCCAACACCACTCCCCCATTACACAAGTAGGCTCAAACATAATACATCACTCAGCACCAACATCAATTTAATTCTTCCCTCTTCAGGACAGGAACAGGGCAGACAGCCCTG